AGTAAGCGCATATACTTTTTCCGTCTTAAAATTGTTTGACAGGTATATTCAAAAATAAATGTTTAAAATTAGTTGTTCATTTAAACAATCAAGAAATAATTAGTTTTTTTTTAATTCTGCCTTTAATAATTACTTCATTTTGTTCAATTGAAAAATTATGTAAATTTTTAATATTCTTAATACAGTAGAATTATATTATCAAATTACACCTTATATTAAATTTTTCTTTAAAGAAAATGCATGATCTACCCTGATAAATAATTGTGGACGGAGAAAAGTAACATGATAGGGTGATTACCAGGAATTGGCTAAATAATTCAACTCTTATCGTCTCTCTTATGATTTCGCTTTTGATTTTTGGTGAAATGATTATTATCCGCTCAAATTTTAACAAAGAAAAAAACTCTAAATAATCATACACTTAATTAATAATTTAAATTATATTAAATATAATCAGCAAAAATTTCCCTATTATTGATTCGATATTTTTTCGTTTTAATAGTAAATCACTTATTAAAGAGAGATCTGCACATTTTATTTGAAACAACTAAAAACAAGTGATGGACTCTTTAATTAAATAAGAGATATAACATGTTTATGATCTTGTATAATCAATCTATACCATCTAAAAAGATATAAAGTAAATTTGGCTGCGAGTATATATATTTAAAAGGCCAAATTTTAATGAGGTCAAAATTTAAACAATGACCAAAAAAAAAAAGAGAGAGAAATTGATATAAAATTTTGTTCATAATATATAAATGTGATTTATTTGACATTTAATTTGATTTCAACTGATATTTATATTTTTTAATTTTAAATATACATAAATAAATAATTTTATATAAAATATATAATAAACCAAATATATTTATCTTAACTCATCCCTCTTACTTAAAAATATCCATGTAAACTTGGACAAAATTCTTCAGGATGATCTGGAGAGACTCCTTTATATGCAAAAGTAGGTGGCAGTTTCTCAGAAGATGAAATTTAGAAATCACGAGTTTTAATATGGGATTATAATCTATTTTTTTTTAATTTAATAATTATATTAATTTCTTAATAAGTAATACAAATTGAAATATAAAATGTATCTCAGATATATATAATAGATGCATAATATGTAGTTTATATATTTATTAGCCCAGATACATAATATGTACTTCGATACATTAAAAATTAGCTCATAATATATAGCTTAAATACATTACATTCTAACTCAAATATATTTTTTTTAAAAAAACTTCAGTGATTTTTAAAATAAAAGAAAATATTAGAAATTAGGTAAACATAAACCTTTATTTGAGTAATTTTGCTATAAAGTTTAAGACGTGTAGAAACCAAACTCAAACATGACATGGCATGGCGGTGTGGACAACATATGACTCATCTGCTTTGCGTGACCTTTCTATAACTTTGACGCAAAATTACCAAAAAACCTCATAAATGTGCCACGTGTCCTATCCATTATCAAATAATACAGAAACTAATCTTAGTACTCCCCCACTTAATTATTTTTACTCACCAAATAAATGGTTTGGACACCTAATTAATAGCCACCTTCCCTAAAAAAAATTTGGTCAACCACTTGACAAGATAACACCACTTGTATTTATATTTATATATTTATATATTGATAAATAAATATTAAATTATTTTTTCTTTTTCTAGATTAGTAAACAAAATCATCTAATATCAATTCCTATTATTTTCAAGCGTGGAATGTATCTTTTTTTTTCGCAGTTTTACTAGCTATCATATGGTTAATAAGGAGTAATCTACCATGTATAAGGGAAAGCATAATTTGTACTCATGAAAATGAATTTTGTTTGAAAATATATACTATAATATCTTTTATGGGAAGATAATATACTCTATTTCAAAACTTATTTGGCATATTTCAAATCTTAAAAGTAAAAAAATAAAATGCACAAAATTGACAATTTAATATTTTTTGAAACTTTTGAATTTTCAGAATTTATTACTATTATTATGACTTCAATAGAAAAAAAGGGCATAATACATGTATTGGACCCTAAATTTGACTTCAAATTTTAATTTTGACCTCCAATTCTCATAATGCACAAACAGATATTTTAGCTATTTAACTTTTAAATAAATAAATACATGAGTCCAACATGACACAATACACGTAGGATACTATGTAGGACAAAAATGTAGGATGACATGTAGACATGTGCGTCTGTTTATTCAACTTTATACAAATTTAAATGGCTATTTATGCACACTCAAAATTGAAGTACATAAATATGATTTAAAGTCAAATTAAATTACATATTTATATATTATGCCGAAAAAGAAGTCATTAAAATAAATGACTATATGTGAGAAATAAACTTAATTCTATCGCTAAAAATAGTTTTTTTTTTCCAATCAAAATAAATGATGGCGCGTTTAATTAGTCAAAATTTTCATAAGTAGACGAAATAAAGATGAAATATATAGTTGAGATGATTTTTTTCAATTTCAACTGCCTAAACCATTAACCATCAAACACGACTGAATATAACACCAACTCCTACCTCCCCAACCCAAATTCATTTTTATTTTCTTCTATATATATAATAATAATAATTAATCCCTTCTCAAACAAAAAACTCATTCTTCTTCCTCTGTTTTTTCAAAATTTTGCTCTGTTTTTTTCAGGAAAAAGAAAAGCACAATTAATTAAATTATGGCGTTCGTTTTAGTATCAGGAAAATCTAGCAAAGCACAATTAGTAGCGATAGCCGATGCAGCTTCGTTTTACTGTGCTATTTTTGTATTGGGTTTGCTTTTGATTAGTTCAGTGAAAGAGAATTATTCAACAGACGGAGCCGTAATGAAAGGGAATCGGTTCTTGAGTCGGCCTTGTGATGAAATTTATGTGGTTGGAGAAGGAGAAACGTTACATACGATTAGTGATAAGTGTGGTGATCCTTTTATTGTTGAAGAGAATCCACATATTCATGATCCTGATGATGTTTTTCCAGGTCTTGTAATCAAAATTACTCCTGTAAACCCATCGTAGATATGATTTTTTGTTTTCCCTAAATCCTGCGAGGAGAGCAGAGTAGAGACTACTCTGCTTTGCTCGCGGAGATTAGATTTTTCTCATGGGATTTTTTTGGGCTTGTGTAATTAATGATAAGAATAAAGATGGTGGAGTTGAGACTTGAGCTATAGAGGTTCAAAAGATCTTGTAATTTTATTAGATAATAAGTATATATATATATATATTAATATTAGTAGTATATGTTTTGGTTGTTTCCCTCTTCTTTGATTCTTAGAACAACTAAATCCATCTCTCTGTTTTTTTTTTATTTCACATCTGGTTCACTAAAATCACAAAAAACATGATGAATTATGCTTTGATTTTTCATTCGGATATGATATCTGTATATAAGTCTTATTAATTTGAATTTACGCGGCATAGAATTCACCATTTGAGAGAAACGATTTTATTGATTAACTTAAAAGCATTTTTGTGATATTGCTGCCTTCATCCCATATTAACTAAATTATTGAGAGATTTTAATTTTTTAAAATTAATTTTATGTATTTTTTTAATTTAAATATTCATTAAATTGAAATTAGTAATTAATTAATATTTAATCATCATATTTATAAATTTTTGATAATTATTAATAAAGATAAAAATAAAATACTAGATTTAATTTTATTTTAATTTATTTTTCTTAAATGTAGAATATTTCAAAAATTAATTAATATGAAATAGAAGGAAAAAGAAAATGTAAAACTACGATACAACATAGAAGATGTGGAAAGACAAGAAGTGTAAGTAAACTATTTTCAGTTTCATCATGGTTTCTTTGTTTTTCTTTTTGATTATGTTTATTTTGATTAATATTCTGTCACTAATACAAAAAAAAAAAGAACTACTAATTTAAAAATTAAAGTAGTTTATAAATTGATTTGAAAAAAGATTTAAAGAGGAAAATCATCAAGCAAGGTCGAATTCATGATCATATTATCCACTATTTTGTACTTATTTTAATTTTGTTTATATTCTTGGTCAGATCACTATTTTATTTCCATTTAATTTATTTTATTGTTTTTAATTGAAAATTTTGTTGTTTTCCTACAAATAGATTTGTTGTTTTTATTTATTTTTTATATTTAGATCATTTTTAGTTCTTTTAATTTATTTTATTTTTTTCCATTGAAAACTTTATTGTTTTCTATTATCAACATGTGTTGTTTTTATTTCTTATTATACATAGATTATTTTCATTTCTTTTTATATATTTACTATTTTAATTGATTTATCCAATTATAAATATTTTTTAATATTAGAACTTTATTGTATATTTTTTAACGACACATATGCTAATCAAATATTAGCATCATATGTTACTCAATATATTAAACATTTTATTAGCATGTATTATTATTTTGAAAATAATATATATAAATAATTTATAACAATTTTACTATTAAATAGTTAATAATTCATGTATTGTAATTTCTACGTAACTAAAATAATATTTACATAACTAATATCCACATAGTTAATGCATAAATAAACCCAACATAACTAAATCCTGAATAACTAAGCCCTACATAACTAAATCCTGCATAAGTAAGCCCTACATAACTAAACCCTGCATAGTTAATACCTGCATACCTAAACTCTCCATAATTAATACCTCCATAACTAAACCTTGCATTGATAATATCTGCATAACTCTAACCAGTAATCAAACAACCCCATAATACATGTATAACTAATACCACATAACTTATTCCACTTTCTACCCTGCATGGATTTCTTCATAAGTTATGTTGATATTAATTATGTAGGATTACAAAAATGCAATCAGACATAGTATAAGTCATGTTGACTTTTCAACCTAATAAATTTTTTTTACCAAACATTATAAAACTAATACAATATTTTATACATGAATAATATGCCCTCTTATATCGTAATTAAACGGGCCCTTAATTGTACGGGAAAAATAAAAAAAAATAATCTGTCGTCAGCAAGTTATAACGTATAATATATAAGCTTAATGAAAAAGAACATTGATAATGCAACTTTAAGAAGATAGACTTTCTGGATTAAAATTTAAAAGAAATTTGATTTAAACGGAGGGATGGATTCAAAATTTAATTAAAATTAATAAATTTTTATCACATGGTTAAATTAATATTTATTTAGTTTCAATTTGCTTATCTAATTTATTTTTTTGAAGCATGTTTGACTTGATTTGTTTAAGTTTTGCTTTCAAAAAAATAAAAAATAATTTTTAAATATTTTTGTAGTACTATTTAAATAAAATTAAAAGAATTCTTTTATACATTTATTATAAAATTAAAAAGTAAAAAATAATAGCCTGGACCGACTTCTAAAATTAGCTTATTTTGAAAATGCTTTCAAACGAATAATTTTTGGCGAAAATAGTTCGTATTAATTAGACCAATAAATCTAAAAAACACTTGTGGGAAATAATTAATGTTAAATTAAAGTTTTTTAAAAAAAATTAACTATATTTTTCTCAAAAAAGGCTTTTAGGTAAAAACTATTTTATTAGCTTTTACAACCATTTCTCTACAATTCAAAAATATTTGTTTTCTTCCAAAAACACTCGCTAATGAAAGAAAAAAGTTTGGCCAAAAACTCTATAAATTAAAATTTCAAATTTATACTCCTTCTTTCTAGTCGTATTTTATATGTCGATCTCTTTTTATAAATAGTTGGTCCATAATACATACTTGTCATTTCATAAAAATAAATACATAAATTATCATATTTTTCATTTTATTCTTGTGAGTTATTAACTTTGAAAATACACATTCGACCAACTTAGAAAAGCTAAGTAAATGATTCATGTTCATTGGTTAAATTAATTAAGCAAAATAAATTAATTTATATTCATTGATTGAAAACTTGAGTTCCAAAAAAATTAAATAAGGTAAAAAAATATAATTACATTATTTCTTATTACAAAAAGTAAAAACATGACATACAAAATGAAACAGAGGGAGTATAAATCAAGTGTTCTACATATTTTTATTTAAGATTTTTTTTCTACTTACTTTAATTTCTCATATTTTTATTTAAGATTTTTTTCTACTTACTTTAATTTCTAGTTAAATTAAATTCAACAAATAAATTTAAACAATAGAAATGTACAATAATAATTCAATTCATAACCACATGCTTATATGTTTTTTTTTTCCTGTTTGGTCAAAAAGAGTCAAAGGGCTCAAAATTTATTGCTTATATGTTTTTCCGAGAGGTCATGTCACTTTGTTCTCTCTACATTGTTGAAAAGTTCTACATCTAAATCATTCAATAAATCATTATTTTATATGAATTTGAACATTATGTTTTTATTTATAAGCATTAGAGAAAGATTCATCTCAATTATTATGTACTAATGTTAGGCCCCAACAAATTAAATGATTTGTTATGCATCATAGCAGCAAAGGAGAACGCGATATTGATTCAGTCGGAGGTATACTACTTTTCTGATCAAATCAACCCACTACTCAACCGCCCACGTGTGTGTCTGAGATATTTAACTTTAGACGTGAGGTAAGGTGAAGTGTAACAATAATATTGAAAAATATTATATTAATTGAAAAAAATTCATCTTTAAATATAAAATCTTGACAATTCTCCCTCACTAACTAATTTTTGAAATTGAATTAGACTTTAAATTTATTTATTTATATTTATTGTTATGTGAAATTTAATTAGACTTAAAATTTATTTATTTATGTTTATTGTTAATTAGTCGCATGAGCTATAGAATTAAGACCGATACAATTGATATGCTTGAAATAGAAATTCCTTGAATGTAGACTCATCATTTATTTTATGTGAATTACATATATTTAAATTATTTGATGTTGACGCAAAATATGTGTTGTGTATTTAATCTACTTGAAAAAAAATAAAGACGGATTTATTTAAAACTAATGGTGGATTCATTTAATTAATGTTTATCTCTCGTCCTATTGTATTGTAGCTAGTTCAGCCATGATTAGGCAACTTAAAGCTAAGGACATTAGGGGATGTTTGGTACAAACAGGACAATGTTTTTCTACCTTTTTTTTTTTAAAAAAATATTTATTCTTTTACTTTTTTTAATATTCTAACAAAATTTGATTACGACAAAATCTGTTTTCCTTACTTATATAGTTATATTAACAAAATTAATTTTTTCATCTTAATAAATTTCATTTTTGGAAGAAAATATTTTTAAAGTTTTTATACAAACAAATGTGGAGAAACAAGAAAACATTTTAAAAAAATAATCTCCTCATACGAAATACATCCGAAATAATTAAATTGGGGAGAAATAATTTTCTACAATTCATATATATATATATATATATATATATATATATATATATATTGATAGAGTTCGTGCAATTCATTATCAGTCAACGGACCAGGTTCGTTGACTTAAACAAATTAAGAACGAAGAGTAAATAATAGCAACAACACAACACGAATCTTCTTGCTCACGGGAGTAAAACCATGACCTGTCGCACAAGATTTTCAACCGTTTTCACTAATCTTCTCAAGCAAAAGTAAAACCCGATTACAATCAATGTGAGAAAAAGTTATTAATCTCATGTTTAAGTGATAACTCTATCACTTAATAAGCCTAATTAGATACCACACTGCACATTAAGCTTCACTACTAGACAACTTAGAATTTGACTAAGCAACACGTAGGTTGTCCACTAAAATACCACGCTCCGGATGACTTAGACTTTTACTATGCAGCACAACGTGCCCACTAAATCAGTTGGACTCAACTGATTTAAGATTTTCACACCAAACAACTATCTGATTCCTCTATAGATGTAACAGATTTACAGTGTATGTACAAAAGAATTAATCCTAAGACCAATAAGCTTGCAGCTCTATTTGGTTTGAGTTGATCTTGAGGATGAATTTTCGCTTTTGTGAGCCTTTGCAAGAGTTTTTGAAGTTGCAAAAACTAAAGTTATAGCTATTGAACATTAGGTTAATGAAAAATAGTCATA